ACCGGATCTGCGGTGGGGTAGCACAGACGCAGCAGGGCGTCCAAGGTTTTGCTTGTCTCCGTGACGGGAACGATCGGCAAATCGGTCTCGAAATCAAGTTCGGCTGCGCTGACTGCTGGCTGTAAAATGGAGAACATGTCCTCGAACACCGACGACGCCAGCATCAGCACCGCCTTGTGCAAGTGAAAATCGACTTCATCCGCGGTCCGAAGAATGACGTCGGCACTATTCTTGTTGAACGGGGCTGCAGCTCGCGTCGGGATCCGCTGTTCGGGATTCACCTCACCGCGTTGTGCTTTACATTTGATCCAGCTTGACATGAGCACCTAAATGATCGGAGGAGAGGAGACTTGCACTTCTGACCTGCGAGGATGAACCGAATATATACCTTTCCGACAATCGCACCTCGTGACAGAAGTTCGTGATGAACTCTGATAAGAATGTCCAGGCTACGTAGTACATGGACTTGAGACTACCATCCAAGTAAGGTTGAGCGCCATCCCAAAAACGGTTGATATTATAAGGAGAATAGCATAAGCCTGCGACGTGATTTCTGGTAGGTGTTCAGCGGGAAGGTTGAATCCGAAGAAGCTACCAGTCGCGAGATTGTGGTTTCACGATCCGGCCGCGCAGAACCCCCATATACATGGCAGCTCCAGTGCTTCGCGTCCATTTTGACGGCCAGGGATCCGAGACCTGCGTGTGCAGTTCTACTAACGACACGATTACAGGCCGATCTGTCTTGCGCAATCTGTCGACACAGCATTGAGGGATTGAGGTAGAGAAAATCTTGCCTTGCATACTTGCACGGCTACTTCCGACAGAAACCTGTCGCACGCGACATCGGCGAATTCGAGCAGTTACAAGTCATGGCCATGACTAATTGTCCTCCAAGTCGAGTAACGAAGCCGACATTTGTGCTGATCAGCACGAATGCCATGGAGAATTCGATTAACCGCGGAGCTATCAGCGCAGAGGCATGAACAAAAAGAGTAACAAAAAGTACGTGCTGCCAGCTGCATGGTCAGAGACTACAGCCATAGCGTGCAATTCGTGGAATACACTGCTCATTCACGTTGCACCCTCGTGTCAAAGGAGGATGTAGGAGGTGATCAGAGGGATGGATTATCTGGCAGAAGAACTGTATGAATGTCATTGTAGCGATTCAACCCTGTGGTGGAGCTTCGGGATCATCTTTTGATGCTCATGAGACCAAAAGAAGCTCGGGCTGTGATATGTGCACTGACCACCAAGTTATAAGTTGATCTGTATCTGTTTCGTATCGACTGGTCAAACGTTATCAAAAGGCTCAAGACGAAGGAATATTTGCCTTTATTAGCAGTTCATCCAGCTCCGTCTGCACAGCTTCCGCTGTCCGAAGGAATTTGTTGCGTGAATCGTCAGATGTGCTCGAGTGGCCACACGCCATTGCGATGACTGCCTCGCTTTCTGAGCGAAATACTGATGTAGAAAGCTTGTCATGGATGCTGGGTAGAATCCGATCAACCTCCCAACTGGACCTATCAGCGCCATACAGCTTAGAGTTGCTCCAGTGCATAGGCTGCCGCAAGCTGGTATGGGTTTTCCATCCGTTGATGTCGATTGCGCTCCTCCGGTAGATCGCCCTTTGACAGTCCAGACGGTAATCGAGTAGCTGTCGGTAGACTGCGGCAGGGACGTCCTCCATCTCCGGGACCCACTTGTCCTGCTCGACAAAGAGCGAGAAATGAGCAGCCTCCCTCATCTCCTCCGCCCAACCCATCTTGCTTGCCATAAAATATGTGCGGAGGGGATCGTCGCGGATATGCTCCCGAAATTGCCTCTTTGCGAAGGCCTTGGCAACGAGAACCTCATACTTGCAAGAGGCCATATACACCGCAACTGCACTGGAGAGGTCCGGAACTTCCGGTTCTTCCATCGGATATAGCAGTTGCAAGAGCATATGCAAAGTCTTACTATCTTCGTCTATCGAGACGATCTGTGAGCTGTCCGGTGAAGCCAGGACATCGTCCGCTTTACGTATCAAGACAGGGGATCCTAGGGCGAGTATGGTTCGAAAGACTTTGAAGATGACGTTGTCTGAGGACTGGATTGTTACACCAGCAGATTCGTGGCAAAACTGCGTAGACATGTTGTGAGCAATGACTCCTTTCCCTCCGTCTTCGTACCCTGGAGCAGTGGCGCTAGTCTCAGCGGATAATCCGCTGTCGGACTGCTTGTCAGGGTTATCATCTCCTGCAGGCGGCTCCAAGGGCGTACAGAAGGAGTACGAGCCTATTTCCGCGAGTCCCCTTCGACGGAACTCCAACAGCCGGTGCAGCGCACCAGAGGAGACTTTGTCCAGCGCAGGCACATATGGGAATGTGATTGTGCTTATAGACGCAACAGCAGCCGCGCAGGCTACGTCCTCAAGACCGAGTCGTACGGCAACGGCGTACGCAGTCACAATCTTCGGAGCGAGGGGTATATTGGATGGAGGGTATAGGATAGACACGAGCATCGATTTCTTGATCCTTCGTTCGACATCCTCCATGTCGTATTTTTGCGCTGCTGCTAATACGTCTGCCATGAGCTCCTCATCCTTCAACGACGGGTCAGTCGAAGGGTAGCAAAAACGAAGAAGGCTATCCAGGGTCAGGCTGCGCTCGGAGACGCATACGATGGGAATACCGCTTTCGTGGTGGATTTCATACTGGCAGGACTCGTCGGGCTGCGGGATGTTGAACATGCCATCGAAGAAATTCGAGGCGATGCAGAGGATTGCCTTGTGGAGATGAAAGTCGACATTGTCAGGCGTACGGAGGACGATGTCGGCGTCTCTTCTATCGAAAGGAGCTGCTGCGAGGGAGAACTGATGCGAATCATTGAGATTCATCTCATGGAGGTTTTACCACAGACCGTAGAGCGCCGTCGTACCAGGCTGACTCTAGGAAGGCGAACTTGAGAGATGATTGAGTCCATCAAGAAGCTGCCTATATGCCAGGCGCTAAGGGCTGCGCTAGACAGAGGCGCTGGTGTATGCTCATTCACGCGTGGCTGAAATGGTAGGCCTTGTACGGTTTGAACGGCACACTGGTGAGGGCAGTACTTACATTCCATTCTTTGACAAAGCAACAACACGCATATGGCGCATCGAACATAACATCGTCTCCAATCCCAGAGACAATCTGTACACATCGACCGCAACTCAGAACTCAGAACAACCCTAACAGATCATCCTGCTGCGATTGCTGCATTGGTGGCGATTTCGTCTGTGGCGCGGCTGGCGTCGACGCAGGTACAGGCGACGCTTTGAACGCCAGCCCACCCAGCGGGTCTATGTTCTGCGTTGTCTGAGGGGTAGGTGCGTTCACGCTCACGCTGCCGAAGATTGACACGAGGTCGTCGAGCGGATTGCTCGACGTGCCCGACAAGATGTTCTCTGCCGCTGGTGCAGCCAGAACCGTCGTCGCCGCAAGGCCGGAAGGCTGCTGCCCGTCCTCGGTTCCGTCGTTATCGGAGAGATCGAGCAGGTTCTCAGATTGCTGGCCTGCTGCGACGGTCTGCAGGGCCTTTTGGGCAGCCATCCGGTCATCAACGAGCCTACTAGAAGAGCCCATGATGAGTGGGACATCGTAATGGTCGATTCCAAGGACGTACTCTGCACCCTTCCGCTGAACAGCGTCGACGCCCACTCGTCCTCGCCCAACGAATGTCTCTGCAGGCTTGTGGTAGACGCTTGCAAGGCTGGAAATCTCTCCAAGCAGCTCTTCCAGTAGTTGCGGGGACACTGTAGTCCGAGGCAGGGAAATCGGGGGCCGATGTGCAAGGACAACGGCCTGCATGCAGGTCGGTCACATCCAACGTCAGCATGCGCGGGAAGATGTCAACGCTGCACGTGAATGCGTACCTTCGCTGCACCTGGATCCGTCGATAGCAGCCGCCAATAGATGTAAGCACGATCTCGCACATCTGGAGAGTCACAATCCTTGGTTGCTGTATTGAGCACCCGCTGCACGAGACCTTGCGACCCATCAGGTTTCTGCAGGAACAGCTTGACCACGGCTGTCAATGTTTGTAGTTGTACCTATACCCAACGCGTGGTGAATTCGCAGATAGAGCCGCAATTGATGAGCACCTACAGGGTAGGACTCCTCGGTGAACGAGTCCACAAAGATGCCAAGCAGCTCGTCTGCATTGTCGATCTTGTTCGCATACTCTCCGATGATCCAGATGAGAGATGCCTTCGCTTCTGGCTCATCCAGCTCATCGAGATTGGCGCATAGAGTTGGGATAACGCCCTCGTATGTCGATGGGTATTTTCGGAAGATGTCCTAGGTCGCGTTAGGAAGGGCTCATGCAATGCAAGAAAAGCGGCACCAATACACCTTCATAACTACCACCGCCTCCTGCACGACGTAGCTCACTCGAGTACCAATGAGATCCAGAAGCACATTCACGCATCGTTCGGCAGCTTCGTCGATCTTGATTGCTGTTTGACCAATCGCCTTGATACTTCTCCGCACAAAGTCAACGTCCACCTCTGATGCATACCTATCCGCCAATGAACACCTCGTATCAAACCAAGACGGACGATGTGCTCACTCTTTCAATTCGCTCAAGAGTGCATCCACATTGCTCTCTCCGGCAAGCCGCACCATGATATCGAGCTTCTCCACCTTCACATACAGTGGATCGTTATACTTGCAAAAGAAAACTCGCATCTCATTTGAGAGAATGTCTGGCCGTTTTTGCAGCAATAGATTGATATTTCTGAGCGCAACCCATTGCACTTCTGGAGGATTCGAGAGCATCGTTACTAATGGAGGTGCCATCTTTCGAATGAACTGCTTGGTGAGACTTTCCGAGCGAACATGGCGCATGTGGATCATGACGACCTAAATGCGCGAACTGAGTCTCGCGGACCTTACAAGCCACCAACACGAAAACATTACCTTTACAGCAGCAAGTACCACACCCGCATTCGCGTGTTGGAACTGGGGCACAACACGTTCGCAGATGTGCTCGCTCTCCTTATCATCCTCCGTCTCATACCGCGCTAACGCATTGAGAATCGCCACGCGTCCCCACTCCGAACACTCGTTGAGCGCGACGAGAAGTTTGTTCAGTATGGTAGAGGTGATGTGGAACGTGTCTGATGTGGTTCCGGCAGCCGTTGCAGCGATGTGGATATCTGACAGAGCGGCAACTGTATTGGCGACGACCTAACATTTGTGAGTACATTTAAGGGGTACATGTTGTAGACAAGCTTCACCATGGGATTGCTATCGGCAATCATCTCCTGCAACGTCTCCAGGAACCCGTTCTCGATCACCAGCTCCGGCCTCAGATCGTACAACTTCGCGACGCAGAGTGCAGCGGTCTTGCGAACATATGGGTTATCGTCGCGGAGGCATTTCTGTAGTGGATCACAGAGGTAATCGATGATCTTCTCCGCACGGAGACAGCCCATGGTCCTGATGGCGAGCGCGCGGACGAGAGGATTCGGGTCGTCGGTGTCCTTGACGAAGGTGTTGACGGCGAGGATTACCAGCTCGGGTTGTGTCTTGGCGTAGTTCATAAGGTACAGATAGACGAGCTTCTTCTGCTCTAGGTCATCCGTCTGCATGTTCTTAAGCACGTCAGGAAACAGCCCGCTGACATCTGTGGAGGCTTCAGAGGCAATACAAGCACAGGGGAGACAGAGACGCACCCTTCTGCACCGTCATATTAGCAATGACCTTCTTGATGGCATCCTTCCGTTTCTCCTTGTACTCACTGTTGAGGTCTGCGCTGAGCTCGAAGTTCTCACCCTTCCGAGGGGGTGCGCGGAAAGCAGACATCTTGGATATCGAGTGGAATGATCTGCCGGATCAGTTCTAACGACCCGCGCTGCAATACTGCTCAAGAGAGTTGTTTGGACAGCACAGTATAACCAGCGCTAATAAACTTGTCTGCAGAAGATTTATGACACGTCGACGAGCTTCAACAACAGGAGAGTAATGTACAAGAGTATCGGTCCATGAGCATCGTTCGCCGGCTATGCAGCGTCGTAGCATTTCCTAATCGAGTACTGAACAAGCGCTCGGCCCTCGGGTGGCCAGCGGGCCACAACTTGTGGCTCGAGTGAGTGACAGTGTGCTAGAGTGTTCGACAGTTCAGGTAGCAAGAGCATATATTCAGATTCAGAATGGACTGTAGGCAAGTAGAAAAGAACACGGCGAACACTGGATCCGATGATTCTGATTGAGTGGAAGTGCTCTTTGTACATGCTGATGAAGGTGAACCACAAACAGACGTCCAAATCAAACAATGAAGAGGTTCAAAGAATGAAAAACACTGTACAAGCGAAAAGGATGGACAAGCTATCCCCGGATACGCCAGAAGAGTCGTCGCACCCAACTCGCGTCTTTCGCAGCATCTACAACATTGCCTTTTGTATGCTGTCCATTCCCATCAGTAGATGCAGCGCGTCGCGTCGAAGAAGCCTTTTCCGCATCCGATGACGAGCTGGCATATCGTCGCTTGTAATCAGCAGGTGACTCGCCGTCCGTGCCATGTTTCCACATCCCACGGCGAGCGGCTCTATTGAGTTTCAATCAGCTCCGTCAGTCATCTTTCACGAACTCATTGCATACTGAGCCTCCGCTTGGATGCGTAGGAACTCTTCTTTGCCCCAGCGGCCGTATTCTGCGCCGGACAGCTCGTATACTTCAACCCATCCAGCACGCAGCATCTCAAGAGCAAGCGGCTTGCCGAGGAACAGGGAGCTCGGGAGTATGCGTGGTTTCAGATATACTGTTGCAACCTGCAGCAAGGAATTGATTTAGGCTGAGGACAGTGACCCTCTGAGCGCCTACAATGCGCCCGTACTGATCTCTTCGTAGAAGCTGACAGTACACCATCTTGCCCTCGATCTGCTTCTTGAGCCATGTAAGGCTCTCTTCCGCGAATGCTTGCGCAGGTCTGCCGAAGTGCGCGCCCTAGTGGCTCGTGTTGACATGAGGATAACACTAGACCTGTGCCGCCATACCTCAGGTGCATCCACGCCAGCGATCCTGATGTGTATCGTTTGGTCCTTCAAATCTGCAAACTAGCATCCAATAATCGGCACGAGCGAATGGGTAGCGGAGACCACCGACCTTTAGCTCGCGAAGGAACGAATCTGTACTTGAGTGGCCACCGCCATCCAAAACCCGGTGTATGATAAATGCGGAAGTTATCGGCGTCTCCGACACTGTTCTTCGATGAGACAGACGCTACACTCCTACCGCGTCGAAACAATTGACCTCGTCACAAGCCCCTTGATCAACCGTTTCCGCCGGAGTACGTCTGGCGTGACCCAGTCTGCATTGAGAATACGTTTGAAATGTCTTCTGTACACGTAGACCCCGCCCAAGGTGGAAGCTGAACCTAGACAGAAGGCTGCAAAGGCGAGCATATGAGGAGGGACTGAAGCAACCCTGTCATCAAAGCCGAATGCAATATCTCCAGGAGCTTCCAAGGAGGCAGTTAGGATGTGCTCGGGCAGATTTGTGCTTGTGCTCTGGCTGCTTGCGCTGCCGGTCCATGGCCAGGGAATGGAAGGCATTTTGGTAAAGGTCTGAACTGACTTGTGCGCTAACGCGGCCGGCGCTTCCATTTATCTGATAAGTCTACACAGACGGGCGCTTACAACATGTCTTCCCCCAGCGAAGTGAGCGAGACAGACTCGCGAACCGTCACGATATTGTACGCCACAGAAACAGGCACAGCTCAGGAGATATCAGACAGAATTGCTGCACAATGTCGACGGATTCACATACGAGCCCATGTCCATAACATGGACACTTATTCACCGGTTAGTCTACTCTGATTTTGTCGGAGAAGTTGATGCCGAGCATTAGACTGTAGCAAGAACTGATCTCGGAGGGTTTGGTTATATTCTCTATCGCCACCACAGGTTCCGGGAGGGAACCGAGAGCAATGACTCCGTTGTGGAACATGCTCCTCCGCTCCGACCTCCCTGAGGATCTGTTCGAGGATCTATCTTTCGCTGTCTTTGGCCTGGGAGACACGGCATACGAGAAGTTCTGCTGGCCCGCGAAACTGCTCTCGCGCAGACTTGCCAGCCTGGGAGCCACCGAAGTTTATTCCAGAGGTGAAGGCGACGAGCAACACCCCCTTGGGTCCGTATCAATACCTATTGCTACCACTGAATTCTGATCTTGGATATTCAGGATAGACGGCGCATTTGAGCCATGGATCAAAGGTCTTCTTGAGGCCTTCCTACAAATCTTTCCGCTACCTACTGGACTGACCGTGGTCCCAGAGAACAGCTTGCCTCCACCACGCGTAGCGATCAGAAATGCAGAATCAACGACTCTTCGCTCATTCCATGAACCATTGGAAAATGACAGTCAATACCATTTGGCGACCGTGTCATGTAATCGCCGAATTACCGCCCAGGAATGGTATCAGGACGTTCGGCATTTTGAATTCGATTTCGACCATGATATCCAGTGAGGAACTCGGTCTTCTTGACAGGGCTGTCTATAGTGAGCAATTCTCGGCAGATACGAAGCTGGAGACGTCGCAATCATCCATCCTGAGGTCGCTTCAGCGGATGTAGAATCTTTCTTGGCGACGATCGGTTTTGCCAATGCGGCCGATGATTTTATAATCATCGAACATACATTAGAAGGTGAAGCTCCTCAAACTTCCGGGGTCATTTCTCGATTGAAGTATGCTACAATTCTAGATCAATCGCTCCCGGACCATTTGCCACGGATGACAACTCTGCGTCAGTTGTTCACACGATATCTCGATATCGGCACAGTTCCTCGCCGCTCTTTCTTCGCCATGCTCCGCCATTTCGTCGCAAACGAGCTCGAGGCAGAGAAGATTGATGAGTTTCTGAGTGTGGAAGGCGCGGTAGGTGCTCTCATCTTGCCATGCTCTGTTTCCTGTGCACTAACCTACTAACGGTTATATTCATGTCTTCATAGGACGAGCTCTATGATTATTGCCAGCAGCCACGACGCACGATCCGCGAGGTACTGGAAGAGTTCCGATCCGCTAGGATTCCCCGAGATTACATCTTTGACCTTTTTCCTCCTCTCCGGCCGCGTCAATTCTCTATCGCCAGCTCTGTCAAGGTACGATAGTCACACGTCCAGTCGTGCAGATTTTCTGCGCCATGCTGAGCGACGTTACCGTATAGTGCCGTCCACGTCAGGTCCACCTGTGCGTTGCGATCGTGGTGTATCGAACGAGGCTGAAGGTCCCGCGGCGCGGGGTATGCACACGCTATATGGCAAACTTGCGAATAGGTGAGAACATTCACTGTGGTACGTCATGTGCGAAATCTGAGATGCTTCGCAGGCGACAAGCTATGGGTAGGGATTCAGAAGGGCCTGTTCTCGCTGCCTCCGAACAACTTGACACCCATCATATGCGTTGGTCCTGGAACGGGTGTGGCGTCTATGCGCGCGATCATCGAAGAGCGTACGCAGGCGGGAGCGGCAGGTCAGTGTCCGACGGCAGACGGAGACTGCACGGCTCTTCGTTGATGCTGACCTCTCTGCAGATAACACGCTCTATTTCGGATGCCGCTCGGCGGCAAAGGACCAGCACTACGGGACAGAATGGGCACACTACGCTGCGGAGGGCCTCCTGACGTACCGGACAGCTTTCTCGCGCGATGTCCCCGAGGGCGCGCCGCGGCGCTATGTCCAGGACGTGATGCGGGAAGACAGCAAGCAGCTGTGGGATTCACTTGGAATTAGGGGGGCGTGGATGTTCATCTCAGGGTGAGTCGTCGGCGGAGCGTGTCCTCCGCGAAGCTAATACGTGATAAATAGATCTGCAAATAAAATGCCTGCAGGCGTGAGGTCTGCGATTCGGGAGGCTGCGCAGAAGGAGGCTGGAAAGACTGAGGAGGAGGCAGAGGACTTCTTGTCGAGATTGGAGAGGGAAGGACGGCTATGGGAAGAATGCTGGAGTTAGCACAGTCAAGCTCGTAGCGCCAATCCTCACATTCTATACCATACTCAATGAGAGGGCAAATTCAAAAGGTGGTGAAGATTATTATGAGCTGATGCATAACGATGAGAGGAGGTACATATGATATCGGACCGAGACTACCCCAAAGTGTTCTTATAGATGTTTGCATGCGACTTGTTTGCCGGTGTGATGTAATGTAACGCAATTGTAACGAATGTCATTTGTCGTTGACATCTGGCAATCAAGGAGCACGTGGTCGCCTCGACGCGGAACGCGTCTCGCGTCGAGGCGTCTTTCGTCCCGAACCACGACCTCTCCAGACAGCCACCCGCTCAGCTCACACAATTTCTTTGCGGACATCACTCTGCCACTGCTCTGGCACCGTCCTCTATCCTGCTATATCTCACAGTGTCCCAGCTGCTCTCTGCTCTCTCCTTTGAGTAATCTCGTCTAGCCGCCACTTCGCGCTTGTCTCGCCGACATTTGTTCGCGTCCGATATTCCAAAATGCCTTCACCAAAAAAAGGATCAAAGGCCGCAGGCGCCACCAAGGCCGCTCCTCCCAGCACTTCATCCGTCATTCCGCCGTCTATAACGGCAAATGAACCGGTGCAGGCCCAGCAGCGCATGCTGCAGACGCGTAGTGCGAAGGCTGGTTTGCAGGTTCGTGTATCGCTACAGCGTTTATCGACGGTCGCCTCGCTGCATCGCTGCTGTGGCGCGACGACGCGGGCATTTCTTGTAACCGGTTTCATTGACTGGCGATGATTTTCTTCTAGTTCCCTGTCGGTCGTATCCACCGTTACCTCAAGCAGAGGACACAACATAATGTCAGGATAGGCGCGAAGGCCGCAGTGTACACGTCTGCGATACTGGAATACCTGACTGCGGAGGTTTTGGAACTTGCTGGTGCGTTTCGTGCTGACGACTCAGCCTTTGACGGTCGTGTTAGCTTGAGTCTCGCATTATAGGGGTCAGCTGGCCCCTGTATGACTAGGCTGCTCTGCCTTTCTCTCAGATCAACTGAGAGAGACAGAACTGACATATCGTTTCGTATTTAGGTAATGCCTCGAAAGATCTGCGTGTGAAGCGTATCACGCCTCGCCATCTGCAACTGGCCATCCGGGGCGACGAGGAGCTGGACACGCTCGTGCGCGCCACAATCGCGGGTGGAGGTTTGTCCTTTGGACAATGGGTAGCCCCGTCGTATCTTCTCACGCTCTGTGCATCCAGGTGTACTGCCCTTCATCCACAAGAGCTTGACCGTCAACAAGGGGCAGAAGAAGCCAGAAACGGTACAATGATTGTATTCCTAGCCCATCTACGGGGCTTTGTGAGAGCGATGATTATCATGATATGTGCTACTGGATCTTATATCCTGTCTGTGCTTGACCATGGGAAGTTTGGTTGCTGGTCGTGTATCTGACGATATGTAATACCATAGTTGCCTCAGTCAATTGGCAAGATATCCGCTCGCGCATTCTGCACGGTGATCTTGGGATTACGCACCGCGGTAAGGACTGGCTTATTTCGATTGAGCTACAAAGAGCCTTTGCAAGTGGTAGCTCGTCAGGGAGTACAGGACCCTCAGCAAGCACCGTCTCCCACTTCGTATCGCGGCTTTGATGTGCACTCAAACACAGTGATAGCGTTCCAAAGGAACAAAGTCATTAGCGTCAGTCCACAAAGGAGCGTAACAACACTACGATAGTGCGCTGGTATTAGCGGGCATAGTCAGCGGGCATAATGTATCATGAGTGTTAGCTGTTCATGCATGGGTCCCGTGCGGTACGCCGGCACACGAGCAGCGTTCACGCGCCATCATTGTTGCTGTTTAGGAATCGGTCCCTCCAGGATCGCGAGACCTTGCTGGACGCCATCGGGTAGCTTGTGGCGCCCGCCATACGGTCACGCCGACGACCGAGGCAGATGGCACCCCCGGCGACCATCAGCGCGAGGAACGAAGCGAAGGTCATCCAGAACCCTACGAAATATGTCCAATTAGCTCGTTAAGGGGGCGGTCGTGGCAGGGGGCAGTGCGCACCAGGAGCGGGGTTCACTGCGACGGACACATCCGCGAGCTGGCCCATCTCGTGCTTGACGTACGCGAGAAGCGCGATATCGACTGCGAATGCGACGAGCGTGATGACACCGCCGACGAACGTCGCCAGCGAGGTGAGCAGGATCATCGTGACATGGGCGGACAGCGAGAGGAGGAATGCGATGAGCGTCACTCCCGCAGCTGAGGAGAGGAGGGTCGGTGACGAAATGCGGACAGCAGTACGGGAGACTTACCGACGGGGTGGATCGCAAGTCCGCGTGTCCAGGACGGGCCGATGTTTATCGAAGTGCTGTTCCCGGACTCGGTCTTACTGTAGACGGTCGTGTTGTATGCGTAGCCTGGTAGGATAGTCGTGTGAGCGTGACAGCGGGTGTCGAAAAAGCAATGAGCACTTGACCGACCTGCGGAGCTGCAGACAAGACCCGTTCCCGAGGTTTCGTACCAACAATCGGCCCTGCGCCCATCAATCAGCTTCCAATGCAGTGCGGTCGGCGTGTGCGTACGTACCAAGCACCAAACTACCGTACCACCGAGAGAACGAGGAGGTCACGGATCGTTCATCACACTCACAGGCAAGCGACACTCACCCTCAACTCCGCGGTGTTGTTAGCGTCGAGGCTCGTGGTGACGGTGCCGTTGACAAAGTGGACGCGCACAAAGTCGAGTGGGGGCATCCACGGCAGGGAGACGGACACGAGCACGAGGAGCACGAAGGACCCGAGCAGGAGGAACATCCCGGGGAAGTGGAGAGCTCGACCCATATTGACGATACAGCAGAGTGGATTTGGCTACGGTATCCGGAGAGTCCTAAGGCGAGCTTCGAGGACTGCAGTCTGAAAGACTCAAGAGGCGTGCGTGCTGGCAGGAGGGGCGATACGTGTCCGCGCTCGCTTGGGTGCATGATTGAGTCGCTCATTGTCCACGCCGAGAACGGGAAGCGGCGCAGAGAAGGGCATCATAGCGACCACGTTAAAACGATCGGCTGGCGTTTCTATCATCCCGCACAGATCCAGAGCAGATCGTCCGTTACGTGAATTGTTTCTCATATGTTGAAGTACATCAATGTACATGACATACCGTTGCAACGACCGAGCAGCTCAGAAGGTCACCAAATCCCTCTGGATATATGGTAGCAATATGCGGCAAGAACCGTCAGTCGTCCATGCACCACGTTTGCCGAGCACTGGAACCGAGTAAGTCGAACCAGTACTATGCCCTTGCTAGCCATTGTAAGAGAACTGTGCGGCTTTCCTAAACGTAGGAGACGATGCGCGTGCAGAGTTAGAAAGTTTGATGAGGGATAGTGGGCCGTCAATATCAAATATTACTGTCGGGTCTGAGATCGTGAATTCAGGTGATGGAAGAAATCGATCCCAGATTTGTCCTAGATGTTAAGAACAAAGGCAGATAGCTATCAGTCGAAGTGGAGACTTTATAGTACGAGGTGACTATATGCGCCTCCAGATCTGCACCATATTCGTACTAATAATTTCGCGCATGCGTTATCTGGAAACCTTTCCGTAATGATATCCTTGACCTTTCGGGAACCACACGTGTGTAACCCGGCTACAATGAACGCAGATTAGAAGGAAATGATGCACAAAAGCCCGACATATACGCGACTTCTGCTCATAATATGTGCGAAATAAGCAAAATGCCATCATATTGAACGATGCGTGGGTAGTACTCATGATTTGCTCTACTGACTTCCATGACAATCTCCAATGTGAATGTCAAGGGAATTAAGCTTCAATTGGCCGGGCACATGCAAGTCTAGAGTGCACAGTTAAGAGGAGATGGAACGGCCTTCTGCAAGAGTCAGAGGGGACAGCGAGTGCTTTCACAGGACGGTGTCCTTCCTTCACCTTCATCTGTTGAAGGTAGAAATCCCAGTCCACGATTGACATTTGTCAGTGACAGGACCATCATCAACCAGCGGAAAGTGGCGCCGACATTCGAAAGTGACCGGGGACCGCCAAGACCGAAGGAAGGCAGCAGTGAGTATCTAAGTCTGACAATGGACGAGCTAATGGGAGTCCAGCACGTCAAAGCGCTCTATTTTCACGTAGGAAGTGTTACACCTTGGCCTAATGATGCGCCTCCTTCTTGGGTTCATCCGCCTCGAGGAACGAAAGGAAAGTCTCCGCGCCAGTCACCGTCTCCTCGGGCTCGAGGACGGTGACCTTAACCTCGCCAGCAGCTACGGGTTCCGCAGCATCGTATGCCGACAATTCAGCCGAGAGGTCGACAGGGAGAGTAGGGGGTTGAGGCACGGGGGGTGCCGACCAGGCCTTGACCACACCGACGTGTGCGTCCTTCGGCTGGGTTCGTGTACATCAGCAAACGTTCGCCAGACCTGCATCTACGAGAGTCAACGCACAAGCGGAGGTGTCTTATATGCCCTCAGCTCCTTGAGATAGAGATCCTGCACGACGTCTACGCGTTCCGGGGTAAGCTAAGCTCGAGTGCGTACCCGCACCGGCGCGACCTGTCTGTCACGTACCCTTCCGTGCAACCGCAGAGGTCGAGAATGCGCATGAGCGCGAGAATGCACGAGCCTATACACAAAAGCCTCAACACAGCGCATCTACACCACCCAAGAAGAGAGACGTACGGCGCAGGACGCCTGCCTGAGGACGGTCGACGACATGGTCAAGAGCAAAAGTGTGACGTGACGTAGGTCACGCGTGCAGCCTCGGTAGGGCTCGGAGTACGGACTCGACTCTGCCGTCACTCTACGCGTCGTGCATAAAGCTTGCATACGCCCCGCTCGCTAACCCAGTCCACGATGCTCGCCAGATTCACCGCCATCTCCGCCCGCCGCGTGCCGCGCGTTGCGCCCGCCGGCGTGCGGTTCTACTCGCCAGAGGACAAGCTCACGTATGTTTGATCCGTTTTGCGCATATTGCCGTCATCTGATTCATTGTGGTCGCGCATTTAGTAATAAGGAGAGGGGAGAGGAAAGTAAGCCGTGTCGGGATAATACATCAAGGACATACTCTAATGCTCTGTAGACATTTATGTTCGCCAACAAGAGAAGGAGCAGCTGAAGAAGCTCAAGGCCGCCGTATGTACTCAACCCTGCCTCTGCTACATTCGTAGGCTAATTCGTATCTTCAGATTGAAGCGAAGAAGAAGGAGCTCGTGAGTTCATCGCATACTGAAAAGTGCCCTTTTCTCTAACAATGCGCACGTGTCCCGTAGGCCGACCTGGAGAAGCAACATGCTGAGGTCGAGAAGAACTCGAAGTAAGCAGAGGATGGGCGAGTTGGCGATGCTGGAGTTGGACTTTTTGTCAGTTTCTTCGTGTTCTATCCGTTCCTATATGGCCTCACGTTCCCATTTCTTGCCTAGATGAACTCTCGCTCGACTTGTACAACAGAGACGGGAAATCGCATCAATATATCGCTAGTTGTGCATTCGCTAGTTGTGCATGAATACACATTGCAATTGTGTGAGCTCGCATGGAGTCCAAAGCCGTTGAATGTGACGTCACTCTGCATGCTGAGTTATGGGCTCGACAAACTGCCTTCTTTTAATCCAAGTCTATGAGAGCATAACGGTCTCATTTGTTCCATCTGCTGACCGACGTCTTGCTCGAGCCGTGGGACATTTCAGGGGCTGCACACCGATGCTGCGACATTTATCGTGATTTTGCTCAACCTCCACCGCGTCGGTGTATCTTTCAGCTACCCATAATATTCTTCCAGTGGGTCTGCGCACGAAGTGAGCTCGCGTTCTAGATGAGATCAATTAGTATCGGAGTGTATCGCGTATATAACGTGTAGAGGGTCATGCACGAATAATCAAGCGACATGACTGTTTGCTCACACGACAACAACACTCGCTCGTGAATTGCTGCTATAGAAAAATGAATTTGTTCCATGGGAAACGCCTACGTATAAGTCGGATTTGCCATGAAACGACCATCCGGCCACCACTGCTGCCGGCTTGGCCTGCTTGCTTGCTCCCTCCACACCACACTCGTCAACTGACGATACAGAGCAGCAGATCGCCCCATCATGTCTAAGAAGGAGAAGCCGTTGCACTCTCTCATCGCAGGGACGACTGCCGGCGCGGTCGAGGCGTGAGCGCGTTCAGCTCCTCGGTCGATTCGCAGCGTTCAGTTCATCCAGGTGACAGGTTCATCACGTACCCCACCGAGTACGTGAAGACGCGTTCTCAGTTCAGCGGGAAGGTGCGCGCATACTTCGCATAAGAGCGGTCAGGTCTGTGCAGCGCGAATCTGACAACGGTGTTCAGAGAGAGAGCCCGTGGACAATCATCCGCACGACCGTGAAGGCGAAGGGAATCTCGGGACTCTATTCAGGATGTATGGCACTGGTCGTTGGTACGTGTCTGCTCTCTTCCTGCCAACTATATGCGTTGCGATCGACTGCTATCAGGTAACTCGGCCAAGGCTGGAGTCAGGTTCGTCTCGTACGACCACTTCAAGCATATGCTGGCAGATTCGGAGGTGAGTTGCAGCATACAGTCCATCGGACATACCTTAAATCATCTCATACATTCTTGTCATGAGGGCAAAGTGAGCGCGCCGAGGAGTCTTGCAGGTGGGCGAGCCCACGTGCATTCATGAGGGGGTTGACATTGAGAGTTTGCATAGCTGGTCTTGGTGCTGGTGTGATGGAGGCGATATTTGCCGTGACACCATCGGAAACAATCAAGTACGCGTTGACAACAAGACCGCTCTTTGTCAATGCTAACGTCCTTGCAGAACGAAGCTCATCGACGATGCCAAGAGCCCGAATCCTAGGTATCGCGGTCTTGTACACGGGACGGTTTCCATCGTTCGAGACGAGGGGATCAGCGGTATATACCGTGGTCTCTTCCCTGTGGTCTGTTCACAATATCTACCAAGCTTATCTCTGAACTCACTGTACGAAACTGCTAGATGATGCGCCAAGGTATCTCAAAGCACTTCATTTGAGCGCGCTATCTAAGAAGTGACGCTACAGGGGCGAATTCTGCCGTGCGCTTCACGACATACACGACGCTCAAGCAATTCGTCCTGAGCACGGCGGCGCCGGGTCAGACCCTCTCTAGCGGGATGACGTTCGGCATCGGCGCCATCGCCGGCCTTGTCACTGTATACACGACAATGCCTCTCGAGTACGCACCCCATATGCAGTCAGACACTGCTATGCTCACTGGAGAATTATAGTGTGATCAAGACGCGAATGCAATCGCTCGAGGCGCGGCAAGCATATCGCAACTCGTTCCACTGCGCATACCGGATCTTCACGGAGGAGGGGATCTTGCGGTTCTGGACGGGGACGACACCACGGCTTGCTCGTTTGGTGGTGAGTGCTTAACTTGAGCTTTTCTTTGCATATTTTTCTTCGCTCACGATCGCTGCAGTTGAGTGGTGGAATTGTTTTCACGGTATATGAGCGTGTAATCTCAATACTTGGAGATCGACCAGCCTAATACAGGCGAGAACGCGCCGCCTTGATCATAGACTCGTCCGGGCAAATGATACACCAGGCAAATGGGGATTTGAGCTTAGTCGACTTGCCGATCAATTTCGTCCAGATACGTTGGGATATATGCAACTTCGATACTAATTCAGACGGATCTTGACTGACCGAGTTACCTGACTCGTCGCTGGCTAAACTCAGTGAAAATAGTTGGTCGCATAAGGAGCCACGGAGAGCCAGGCCTCGTCTAATGCCCCCACAACCTCGTCGGCTGTCAGGTTCAAGGCGAAGACAACGGTCAGGTACCACTATGCACGTAAAATTTGTATTCCACTCACGAAGGGGACCCTTTTCCAGGTCAATCAAGTTCTACGAGTTTCATGTCAGTATCTATCACAGAGCTAAACACAACCATAGTGTACAGACCTGCTCGATATGCTGCACGCTAGATGCGCCGATAATCACCGAGTCGCCGTATTCGCGCTTCATGAGGCTGTGATGGGAAATCCAGCGTAGCGCGATCTCAGCCATCGTCAGGTCGTGGGCCTGTGCGACTTCCTGGATGGACTCGAGCGCTTTGAAGTAGGGTTCGTTCCAGTAGCTGAGAGGCTGCTGTCAGAGGTAGCAGAGCAAACGACAGCTAGGCCTTACCGCGCACGGTAGCTCTACGCAAGTGTACAATGGTAGTTAGACTCTCCTCTAGTTATCAGTTAAGATTGACTGACCCTTCCTTGACCTTTCTCCGGATCGAATCTGGAGCCTGGTTCAACCTGCTGGTCCAGCGACGTGTACCTTCCCGTGAAGAACCCGCCTCCTACTTTAGACAGCAGAAGCATAACCTTTGTCGCCAGACTATCGAAGACGGGGGATGAAACTCACAAGGATTGAACTCATAGAAACTGATTCCGTACTTTCGCAGACATGGGAACAGCTCTGGCTCGACCTTCCTGTGAAACAAGTCCCGTATTGATCAATCTGTTGCGCGTGTCGACAAGAGCAAACCAACCTATGAATGGCATTATAGATGCCCTGGTATGCAGTTGGTTGAATGTAGCCATTCGTCTTGCATATCTGCACAATCTCCGCGACCTCCCATCTGCAAAGAATACGTTATCGAAGCAAGTATGTTATGTGTTGGTCATCGCTTACGACATGTAGTTGCTTATACCAAAGCGCCTGAACTTGCCCTCCTTGTAGAGCTCGTTCATTGTCTTCAAGGTCACCTCATACGGAGTAGTGCGATCCGGGCCGTGGAGATACCACATCTCCAGCTGGCTGTAACACTCTGCTTCAGAACCTATTTGTGCATGTCTACCTCAATACGTACTCGATGTTCAGTGCTTTCATAGATGCCTCAAGGTGCTTGCGCAGGTCCTGAGGTCGAAGCAATCAAGTTTTCCGGGAGCTCTCCGTCTGCACTTCCAATCACTTACCTCAGGGAGAATGAGAGATGATAACTCGATCCGGGTTTTGAAGCCTTTTGTTCGACTGCAACTGTTGAGCTGGATGACACTGCCTGAGGTGGCATAGAGGCACGTACGACATTGGGATACAGCTTCGTCTCGATCTTCAAGCCTCGCTTACGCCAGTCGATCTTCCCGAGGTACTCTTCGCTCGTGCCGCCGGTGTAGGTGCGCGCAGTGTCGATCTAGTCATAAGTGTTCGATTGCAACGACACATTATGCGTGGAAGTGGGACATGCTTGCCTCGGTATGACCATGAGCTTGGAAGACATCCAGGATCGCCTCGACATCTTTGAGGTTGTGCACTCTTGCACCTGCCACGCGAGCTCACTTCCATGCTTTTTGGCAACGATATATTGAAGAGTTCAACAGACCTTCCTTGCCAGCCTCTCCGAACGTCATGGCACCCTGTCCTCGTACAGTGAGTACGGTATGCGACACAACAACTCCATTGCAGCTGCAGCCTACCATAACGATGTTCAGCGCACTCTTCTGAGAGGTCATGGTGAGGTCGACGGCAGAGTTCACGAGAGACTTGCTGTCTCCCTTGACGCCTCCGGTCTATCTATATATGAAGTCAGCTTACTCAGGAATGCCCTGAGAAGTGACGCCATCTCGGCGGTCTGTGGGTCACCGTCATCTGCCTCAAGAACTCAGATAGCATTGAGCCGTGGAAGAACGTAGATGGGACACGGTTCAGCGCTTTGGCGAACTTGAAAGACGCCAAATAATACTATATAGTGTGATCAAGACGCGAATGCAACGACAGGAATGACGCCACTGCTTGTGCTTAATTTGCGCTTTTGTTCACATACATTTCTTCGCTCATGATCGCTGCAGATGAGTGGTGAAATTGGTTTCACAGTATACGAACGTTTAATCTCATACAGTAGACTATCTCATAATGCATAAAGTTGGTTCCCGGCTCAGGCTATGCATTATGAGATTACCAGATGTGTCACATTGTGTTACATAATGTGACAATTGTGACCCTTCACTGAGCAGTTGTCACGCCTGGTGACTTTCCAAGGGATTTGTGTGAAACTCTGTAAGTACATACAGATAAGGCAGTAATGCGAGTTCCTTGGTGACTGTGGGGTGTGATTTTTGAGTGCTTTCAGGCCCAGACACGGAGAAGCAAATGAAAATTTTGCTATGATAGATAGCTCTCATACATGTTCACACCTTGCCAACACCATTTTCATGCGCACATCATCCAAAATAGGTCAAATTTCCAATCTGATAATGCATAAAATCCAAATTTGGTCATGCAATATGCGATATGAGATATTATGCATTATGAGATCATGCATTATGAGATATTATGCATTATGAGATCATGCATTATGAGATATTATGCATTATGAGATCATGCATTATGAGATAGTCTACTGTACTTGGAGATCGACCAGTCTAATGAACGCGAGAACGCGCAGATGGTACGCCAGGCAAATGAAGATTTGAGCTTAGTCGATTTATCGATCAAGTTCGTCCAGATGCGCGGGGATATCTGCAATTTCGATACTAATACTAACTGACCGAGTTACCTGACTCGTCGCTGACTAATTTCAGTGAAAGTAGTTGGTCGCATAAGGAGCCACGGAGAGCCAGGCCTCGTCTAGTGCCTGCACAACCTCGTCAGCTATCAGGAATAAGGCGGAGACGACGGTCAGATACTGCGCGCATATAATTGGTAGTCCACTCACGAAGAGGCCCCTTTTGCAGGTCAATCAAGTTCTATGGGTTTCATGTCAATATTCACCGCACAGCTGAACGCAATCATAGTGTACAGACCTGCTCAATGTGGTGCAGGCTAGATGCACCAATAATCACCGAGTCGCCGTATTCGCGCTTCATGAGGCTGTGATGGGAAATCCAGCGTAGCGCAATTTCAGCCATCGTCAGGTCGTGAGCCTGTGCGACTTCTTGGATGGACCCGAGCGCTTTGAAATAGGGTTCGTTCCAGTAGCTGAGAGGCTGCTGTCAGAGGTAGGGGAGCAAACGACAGCCAGGCCTTACCGCGCACGGTAGATCTACGCAAGTGTACAATGGTAGTTAGACTCTCCTCTAGTTGTTAGTTGAGATTCACTGACCCTCCCTGTATTTTTCTCCGGATCGAATCTGGAGCCTGGTTCCACCTGCTGGTCCAGCGACGTGTACCTTCCCGTGAAGAACCCGCCTCCTACTTTAAACAGCAAAAGCATCACCTTTAACCCAGACTCCCGAAGACAGGGGACGAAACGCACAAGGATTGAACTCATAGAAACTGATTCCGTACTTTCGCAGACACGGGAACAGCTCTGGCTCCACCTTCCTATGAAACAAGTCACGTATTGATCAATGTGTTGCGCGTGTCGACAAGAGCAAACCAACCTATGAATGGCATTATAGATGCCCTGGTATGCAGTCGGCTGAATGTAACCATTCGTCTTGCATATCTGCACGATCTCCGCGACCTCCCATCTGCGAAGAGTACGTTATCGAGGCAGGTATGTGATGTGTTGGATACCGCTTACGACATGTAGTTGCTTATACCAAAGCGCCTGAACTTTCCCTCCTTGTAGAGCTCGTTCACTGTCTTCAAGGTCACCTCATACGGGGTGGTGCGATCCGGGCCGTGGAGATACCACATTTCCAGCTGGCTGTAAGGCTCTGGTTCAGAACCCATTTCGTGCGTGTTCACTTCGGAACGTACTCGGTATTTAGTGCTTTCATAGATGCTTCAAGGTGCTTGCGCAGGTCCTTAGGTCGAAGCAGTCAAGTTTTTCGGGAGCTCTCCTCGGCACTTCCGATCACTTACCTCAGGAGAATGAGAGATGATAACTCCATTCGGACTTTGAATCCTTTTGTTCGACTGCAATCGTTGAGCTGAATGACACTGCCTGAGGTGGCATACAGACACGTACGACATTGGGATACAACTTCGTCTCGATCTTCAAGCCTCGCTTGCGCCAGTCAATTTTCCCGAGGTACTCTTCGCTCGTGCCGCCGGTGTAGATGCGCGCAGTGTCGACCTGGTCATAAGTGTTCGATTGCAATGACACGTTATGCGTGGAAGTGGGACATGCTTGCCTCGGTATGACCATGAGCTTGGAAGACATCCAGGATCGCCTCGACATCTTTGAGGTGGTGCACCCTCGCACCTGGTGGGCAAGCTCAGTTCCACGCATACTGGCAACGATGTAGCAAAGACTTCAACGGACCTTCCTTGCCAGCCTCTCCGAATGTCATGGCACCCTGTCCACGAACAGTCAGTATGATATACACGAAAACAACTTCATATTGGCTCACCATGACGATGTTCAGAACACTTTTCTGGGAAGCCATGGTGAGGTTGATGGCAGATTTCACGGGAGACTTGCTGCCTTCCTCGACGCCTCCGGTCTATCTATATATGCATATGCAGTCAGCTTACTCAGGAACACCCTGAGAAGTGATGCCATCTCGGCGGTATGTGGGTCACCGTCATAACCATCTGCCTGAAGAACCTAGATAGCGATCCGTGGAAAAATTCAGGCAGGGTACCTTTGACGAGCTTGAAAGACACCAACTAATACTACAAGTTGACGGTTTACTCGACTATCCCGATGAGCGAGGCCTTTATGACGGACCATGCCTGCATTTTACGCCGGATGTGTAGCAGAACATAGATCAATCTACGCGTTTTATGCTTGAGTTCTCGATCCTGCTCTCCGCCTATTCCGGAACAGATCCCTGCACAACCCCCGCCCGATATCCAACATGGCCTCCCGACTCTCCCATACAGGCAAGATGATCGTGATGACTGCTGCAACAATGAGCCAGATGATGCTGATGATGATCCATGCCTTGAAGAAGCGCAGCGAGAAGATGTAGTGCGAGAGGAAGAGCGGGATCGGGATCAGCTGCAAAATGTCTCGAACAGTCAGGACCTCGGCACACACGTTGCTACGAAGAGGGGAGACATACGAAGACAATGATGAAGCTCAGGATGACAGACACCCATGCTGCGGATGTCAACGACTTGCCGAGTGTCTCGTAGTACTCTGGCTGCTCGTCACTTTCGGCTGAAGCCGTCTTCTCAAGCGGAGATTCCTGTGCTTTCTCTGCGAACTCCTCCGTCATCCTCGCTCGTTCACGATCGAGCGCACGACCATGCGGGTTGATGTTTTTGGTCTGCGACCAATCAAACTCGTTGTCGGGCTTAACCAAAGTGATAAGCGCAGAGAAGATAGCGCCGCAGCACAAGGACGCAAGGTTTCCCGCCATCGTGGAGTACGTGTTTCCTGCGCCACGATGTCAATGTCATCGAAGACCACTATGACTCGCGTACGCACCCGTACTCGTGATCGTCAGCTCGCCATAGTGGAACCTCGCCACGAGCAACCACGTCATGATGCCCATGCACAGTCCTCCAAGCGCGCCGCCGACCGCTGCGGCGCCCGTATGCTTCCGCCAGAGCATCGTCATGATGATCGGGCCTGCTGCAGGCGTGTAGAGGATGCCTGCGAAGAGGTAGAGCCAGTTGAGCGACACGCCGATGCCGATCCACAGGCTCGATATGCACGACATCAGGATCGCCCACGCGCCGACCATGAAGTGCGACACGCGAATGAGGCGCGCCGGGGATGCCTGGGGATCATAATGTCAGTAATCATGCCACTTTTATCGGGATATGAAAGGAGACTCACGTGGGGATTGATGTGGATCTGATAGATGTCGTAGGTGAGGATGGACGACATGCCGATCATCTCTGAGGACGCGGCAGACGTCACCGCCATGAACAGTATGAGTAGCTTCCAGATCATTTTCATCAGCGAAGCGCATGGTACTGCCAAAAGTATCTCTGACCAGTGCAGCCGCTCCGCTTCTCCCCAGGACGGCAATGACGGCAGCTGGTGCTGCCAGCCCGTCGCCGACCTCTGTGGCCGTCAAGCCGCCAAGGTACGGGAAATATGGGCCTACAAAGTGTGTCATCACGACATCCATGATGACAGTGTAGCAGGCAAGCTACGCACTGTCAGCTAGCGCAACGGCAGTGAGGCCCATTACCATCGACATGGTCAACGGGACGGCGAACCACGAGATGCCACCCATCAGGTAAGCGTAGACAGTCGTCTTTGCTTGCGATGCGATAGCGCGTTGCCAGTATCCCTAAGGGCGATCTCAGCACCAACCCTTGCGAAGTTGCAAGAAGGTGGCCTTACTTGGTCGAGTGTCACGACACCGAACGCACCAGATAGTTGAATGATCATGAAGCAGAGGCCATCTGCATGACAATGAACAATGAGCTGTGTCAGTTGAAAGCGCATATCGGAAGTAGACTGCAAATCTCACAATTTGATTTCATCGTCAAATACGAGCCGCCTTCGTTCCCGGCGGCCGGACGCTCTTCACCAGCTTTTTGTAGCAGGCGGTACATCCCGTCCAGCCCTCCAATTAGATCGCTCCGCGTATACGTGTAAAAGAAGAAGTATAGCAATACGATCATCAGAATCGACGTATGGGTATAGTCGCCTGATTTCAAGTTCAGCACTATCTCGAAGAAATCGCGGGAATCGCTTACACAGGAATGTTGCACGAAGACCGCCAAGGATAACATAGATCATGACACCGACAGGGATCAGGAAGTTTGCAGCATAGATGTTCATTCCAGTCAATGCATTCACAACGGCGCTCCCGCCGAGAAGCAGCATACTCGACGCGATCAGAATCTGTACCGTGGCGAAGGTGGCGAATACAAAGTGCGCAGTGCTTCCATAGCGCGCATGGATGACCTCCAGATAGGTGTGGCAATACGGCGCGATCATCTTGACCCGGACCGCAAGGATAGACATGAGGAACACCTCCAGCGTCGCGCCCGCCGCGTAATAGTACCCGCCGCAGATCCCGTACTCGTATGTGATCGTGCAACTCTGCAGGAGCGTCGCGGCCCACGTCCACGCGGAGACGATGCCCGAGGCGATCAGACCCGGCTTGACGGAGCGCGACGCGGTGTTATACTCTTCCGCGTTGGACGTTTTGTAGGTTGTGTAGCGGTTTTGCAGGGCGGAGATGCCCATCATGACGAAAGCGAAGAAAAAGCCGATGCCGAGGACGTAGCCGTATCCAGTGCCCTGGGAGAAGACGATGCCATCTGAAGTAGCCATGTTGTGTTGCCGCAGACGTTGAGTCTTCCGTCCGCTTACACTGAACTTGAGAGCGTCGTGAGAGAACTGCTTATATGTCTAAAGTTCGAAGGTCGTCGAGTCCCTCTGCAATACAACGTCGCAGATGCAAACTTGTCGGCCCCGTTGTACCTGGATGAGAGGATCACTTGGGACTGAATGCGGGCCAGCCCATCTGACGCGCACCTATAGATGGCACTTGATACAATCGGCCTCCAACTTCACTGCTACTGTTACGACGAGTCCCAGTTGTCTGCCACTATACACTCAGTCGCATGATTGAAAAAAGAAAAAGACGAGGGGCGGCGCGGCAGGGCGAGCGAAGGAGGGGAACCCGCTCTAACCCCAGCGTGACCGCATGTGGTTATTTCGCCTGCCGGTTAAATAGTTCCCCACGATCACGCTACCTCCTCCTTCGGCTTGATCACTCAGTAAAAATCGTGGCTTGCATCGTTTCGAACGCAAGCTGTGAATGTCGGACAGATGACGAACATGAATTGCAATATAATCTGCCATGATGGGTTGCAGATACTGCGCAGGCAGCCAATTTCCGGTGACATTTCATGTAAGATTATCTTATCTTTCTAGATAAGACAGTTAGTTGTGTGGGCCTTACGTCTGATGTAGGAAAGCTCCGTTTTCGTGTGCAGTGCCACACAATCACCTAACCCTCCTATGGATTGAGCACTGGCAAAACCTCTGGCCTGAATCGTCCCGGATGCAGGCTTTGAATATGTAGCGTTCGCCAGAATCCGGGAGGAGGAGCGAGCGGATGATGGAGCGGGGCAAGGAGAGCTCGGGCTTATATGCCGAGCTCCCTAATTAGGATTACTTTATATATAAGTACATATTTGGAA